CAAAAATTTCCTTTTAATAGGATCTATTTAGAAAAATGTAAAAGTGGCTCCTTTATTTAATACGACCAGGTTGACTGACAATACCACCTCATATGATGATTGGTTTTCTACTTCACATAATCTTACATAGATTTTGTTTTTTTGTGTTAATTCTACTTTAAAAAGAAATAAGAACATAAATTCATTTGTATAGGTAATTCAGGTCAACACATATTTTTATTAAAGTTATACAAGCAAAACCATTTAAAAGTTACCTGGGTTTCCCAGATGATTGGCATAATACCTTTGAGAGATGCCATTCCACATAAATAGAACGTGAGCTATTCATTTCCACAGACATCTACAGGTATCATATAAGGCACGTGAAGTAAAGCATGCACTGGCAAAATATGTTGGAAAATAAGGTGATTATATGGATGGTTAATAACCACTCAAATTTCCTAACGTCAGTAGTCCAGTGTTCCAGGTAACTTAGTCTGAGATAGCTAAGAGAGTTTACCTGTTTCCCTTTGCATGTAACTGATAGGGAATGTGGCTTGCTGTGTTATATAGTTTTGGTTAAAATTATTTTATTAGTTATCAATCAGGTCAACAGATAAGATGCAACATAATTATTTATAAGAAAATAATGTGTGTATAATATGGTAAAATCACCAACTTTGAGAACCTCACACATTATGGTTTATCTTTATAAATAGGCACACATATATGTAAGCATTACTTTATAGATGCAGATATAACTATTACAATACAGTACAAATACAGTATTAGAAACTGTACATGGTCCTTCATAATCTTTTCTCTCCTTTTTAAATATTAACACTTTTCATCAGGACTCATTGGTATCTTGAATAAAGACTTCATTTCTGAAAACACAGGTAGGTGTTGTCATGAAACTGTTCTAGCCCATTGATAACAAGAGTTCTTCTACAGCAACCTCTGTTTTAAAAAAAGAAAAGTATGTATCTTTGTTGATTGCCTTTCTTGATTGTCCCTTATTTTCTGCCAACTGGATGGTAGATGTGATTTTAGGAGTTGCACAAGCCAGCCATCTTATCTTGACTTAACATTGTGGATGGAGGCCACATGACAGAGAGCCTTGGCAAATGCTCATGGCAAATGCACACGAGAGCAATGCACAAACTACATCAGCCTAGAACTGATTACTAACTCAAGAGCTTCATGTGAAACCAAAATAAAATTCTGTTCTCTTTAAGTCATTATTTTCAGGTCCCACTTATAAATATATACATAAACACATAATACATAATTGGAAACATAATCTAATGCGTTATAATCACTATAGATTAAATATAAGTGCATTATTACTTTCTGAATAATGTAATCACTGTCAATAAGGTAATTAATGTTAATAGTAGATGTGTTGTCAGGGATCCTGAAGATTAGATTAACCTCATTGCCATCTGAGAGAGAAGCTGCTGGTTAATATATTTTAATTCCCTGGAGGCTCAGTGTCCTCCCTTAATTTGGAGTCTCTGCCAATTCATTGTCTTTTCCTTGAATCCAGCCTCCCCTCTTCCTCTGGTTTCCTTCTTTTGTTATCTTTCTTCTGGTCTTTGCTTTGAGATTGCTTCTTCTTCAAGCCCACCCTAAATTCAGATCAAAATTGCTTGTTCATTTGGTTCCCTGGCAGCACGAATTTCCTTTGATGCAGCAGATGCTGTAATATAGCAAAACTGCCTATTGATGTTAATGAGAGAAAACTTCCTGAAGGCAAGAACTGTGTCAGACACATAGCACAGTCTTGATAAATATTGTGGGATAAATTAATGGATGCCTTAACTTAATCCTCTTTCTTATTTTCACTTCTGTCATCACATCAGAAAATATTCAGATTTTTAAAAAATAGGGTAGAATTTAAATGTTGCTTTTATAATCTTATCTACTTCATAGAATAGCATTCCAAAGCCATTTTAACTTCCCTATCTTATTCAGCCTGAAGTGCATCTCTTTTCTCAATTTCCCAAATAACAATATTATTTTCAAATTAATTTTACTGATGAATACATTCTTTTTTTCCATTGCTAAAAAATAGAGAGAAATGGAAAATTAAAGGTTAAATGCAAATATCTAAACATAGGCCAATATGTTGAATTGTGTAAATGAGCATCTCTTCTGATTCTTAGCATCCTGGCAGGTCAAATGCTAAGTTATAGCAGTGTGACAATGCACATGCAAGGAAATCTAGAAAATACACCATCCTCATTATTGGAAAGAAGAAAGGAAATTCCTCAAGAAACATTTCTGGTCCTGAATCCTGAGAGAAGTTTTTAACATGATGTAATCTATAGAGGGCATTGTGCAGTGCAGTGGGCAATATCATTCTGTAAGGTATACAGAAATTAAATTTCTATAGCCTATTCTTATGCTGCATTTCATAAAAGTGAAAGGTGTAATGATGAAGTGAAGCCCAGTGAAGGTGACTGGGTGACGGTGTCTAATTTGATCAAAAAAAAGAACATTTGATTTTCCAAAGAAATAGAGGGGTGGCAGGCACCTTGGAGAACTCTCCCTTGAGCTCGTCTTTGAAGAACTGTTACTAAGAGCCAAACAGCAATTAATTCAAGGTTTTCCTGTAGGACAAAAGGACTGAAGTCGTTTTGTTCTTAACAGGTTTTTAAGAATAAATTTCTAAGCTTTGAAAAGCCATGTGAGTGCTATCATTTTTTCAAAGAGAATTAAGGATTCTCTATATTATTCTCCGCAAAACGGAGAAATTACCACCCCTTCAAGAATGTATCTATAGGAAAGACAAACAAAAAACTACTTTTTTTGGGTTTTCTTGTTTCACATCAGAAGCCTTTGAACACAGTTCTTGAATAAAACCTGTGTAAAGGCTTTGAATTTTTACAACATGGCAACTCAGAGAGGGATATGGCTTGAAAAAGCACCCAGACCAGGTGATGCCAAGCTTCTACCAAGGCCAAAGAAAGATCCAGCTGTAATCCTAAGAAACATTTATAGGAATGTGGTTTCACAAGAGTCAGAAGGAAAAATGGGAAAATGCATCTCTAATTGAATCGCTGTATTACACAGCTCTGTGGCATATTTGATCCTGAACATATAACTATTGGAGAATGTCTGGCAGAAATAACAACTTCTGTGTTGCCACAGTGCTTTTTTCCCAGCTAAAAGGTGGCTTCTAGGCGACATTGTTCTTAAGACTACACCTACCTAGTTCACAATGAGATATTGGTGTCCTTAACACATAAGGACACATTTGTCTTCTTCTTTACTCTGGCAGACAAATGGTTACTGAGAGTCTACTCAGTATGGGCATCCTTAGGGGACAGGATACTAGCAAATTCAGTCTGTTTTCATGAGTGGAAGAGCTTTGGTCATTCCACTACAAGGATAAATAACTCCAAACCTGCGTGCCACAAATATGTCTGATGCTCAACCAAAACTATTTGCCCTTTAAAATACACAAAGATTTTCTGCCATTTTGTGACCATATGAGCTGCATTTTAGAAGTAAATCAACATACTGTAGTTTCCAAAGTATGCTTTAGTACTTAATGGATTTTATACAATATACTTAACATTTCAGCAGTGATAGGAAAGTAAATATTAATCTCCCTAGTCAATTAATCTAAACAGAATTGTCATCCTAAAGTCGAAGCATTTTTACACAGCTGTGTTACCCTGTGTCCAAAGGAATGGCATAAACAAAATCTGCGATTAAGGATTTGGCACTGTGTCAAACATCTCAGAAACAGCACCTTTCTGACCTTTTAATTTTTTTTTTTTTTTTGGCCAGATCCAAATTATTTTGCATTCAATACAAGTAGAAAGGAATCTAGGCACAGAACAATGTAAGCAAACATAGTATCTCCTGTCCGACAGAAAGCCATTGGGTGATGTGTCTGAAAAACTCAGTAACTGCTTCTCTTTATGAGCTTATGGATAGCCTGGAATGGATATCAGCACTTATACTTCCTCCCTGAGTATAACTTGAAGAAGATTGTGCTTAAAAACCTAAGCAATCTGGGAGCAGTGGGAAGCAGAAGCATAGGTGGGGAGCCCTGGGAAATGCGTGCAAGACCTAAGAACTTGAAGAGAAGGTAAGTAGATGGTAGAACATATTTATCAATGATAAAAGTATATTTTAACATTGACGTTCAAAGCTTTCATGATATAATTATGAACTTAACCAGTTACACTAATTTCCTATTGCCATTATAACTACTGATCATAAATACAGTGACTGAAAGCAATACAAATGTATTATATTTGTATTATATTTCAGCTTCAGGGGCCAGAAGTCCAACTCCACTCTCAATGGTCTCAATAAAATAAGAGGAGGAGCAGAGCTACATTCTTTCTTGAGGCTCTAGGGGGAAATGAATCTGTTTATGTTTTTCCAGCTTCTAGAGGCCACTGGCATGCCTTCTTGGGGCCACATTTCTTCAACTCCAAAGCCAGAAACATGTGGCCAAGGTCTTTTCATACTGCCATTTTTCTTGTTCCTTTTCTTCTGCCTCCTTTTTCCACTTATAAGAACCAATGTGATTATATTAGGCCCACCTGTATAATTCAATATCATCTTCTCATCTCAAAGCCAGCTAAATAGCAAGCTTAAATCATATGCAACCTTAATTTTCCTTTTCCTAACCTAATATAGTCAGATTCCAGAGACTAGGATGTGGAACATCTTTGTAAGGGAAGGGAATCATTATGCCCCTTACTACACGTATTATATGTGTTAAACATACCTTCTTGTAAAATCTCTTTACTCCATAAAACCTTTGATGGATTCACTCATTTCAACAGAATGTCATCTTACCTCTTGCATTGTACACCTATCCCTCCCTGTACTTTCAACCCCATCAAGCCCAATCCCAGTAATAGAAATCACTTACTCTTATAAAGAGATGTTGAAATATTATGGCTTCGTCTTTTTAATGTGCTATGAAGACTGCCATTCTCTACCCTCACAGGAAGCCTAAATATTACCTATTCTGTTCTCATTTTTCTGTGTCACATTTTATTCTCCTCTGGATCCACAGGGTAGTTACTCACATCAACATCTTGTACATCACTAGGTATATGACTATCTCCTCCCTTAGCTAAGAAGATACCAGAGGACAGAAATTGTCTAAACTTCACCTTTGCCTTTAGTAGGGGTCTTCACTTCAATAACGTTATTAGTAGAAAGATCTGTTCCATGAAAAGTGATCCAACCTATGTTTCTTATATTTGGACGAGACCCATACTGCAGAATGTTATTCATCCCTGAGCCATCCTTCAAATGCATTTTATACTTTTTATCACCATAAGAAGCCAAATTGTATAATTGTCTCATTATCTCAGTGTTTTTCTTTCTACGTTGCAGTAGAGACTCAACAGAGTTCATTGCCAACATTGCAGTAGAGACTCAACAGAGTTCATTGCCAACATTGCAGTAGAGACTCAACAGAGTTCATTGACAAATAAGATAATAAAAGAACATGAATTTCACCGATAGGCCAGAGATAGCAGAGGGCTAGGGGAACCAAAGCTTGACCAAGGAAGTGAACAGAAGAATGAAAAAAGAACATAAGTAAAAAGCCACTCCAGAAATTACAGAGCAAGAGTTAGAAGAAGGAAGTATACTTATTCCTATATCCTGCTTTATGGGAGACAGGGGGCAATTCTGACCTAAACCACGATGAAGAAAGTGAGACAACTATTTCATCTGTTTCCCAGATGGACATGTTAATATTAACATCTTACTCAGTAAATTCTACTGCTTTCTTATAAAAGAGATCTTTAGCTTTTTTAAGATGTTGCCATACCCTTTGAGGTGTGTTTAAAGAAAGAAGTAGGAGTAGAAGGGATAAAACCTTAATGTTTACATTAATGTTCTCAGCAAATATTTATATTTGTTGCAAAACATTAAACGACCAGATGCATAATTGAAAATAAAAAAAGAAAAAAGAAAAGTCTGGAGCCTATTTCAAAAATGATTATGAATTTTGAGACACATTAAAACAAACACAAGGTCCTTCTATGTACAGGGTCTGTGCAGCTGCACAGGTTCTATGGCTGGGAAGCCAAGCTTGCATTAATCTTTGATTTTTAAGTAAAACTACTACCTAGAATAATGAAAGAATCACTAAAATTCAGGAATATTGCCTTAGATCTTTCATCATACTTACGGACTGAAGTAAAAGCATAATATCTATCAAATATTCATAGGTTTATTTTCATATTGAAGTAAACTTAATGTGTATCTCATCCAATACCACTTGACTATAGAATGCATAGATTTTGGAGTCCAAATTACTGAGCTAAAATCTCATATCTGATCATTTAGTAGCTATGTGACTTTGAGAAGTTCACCTAGTCTCTGTTCTATGCAAATGTAATACAGAATAAGCATCCCTTAATCTGATAATTCAAAATCTGATATGCTCCAAAATCTGAAACATTTTAAGCCTCACATTATGCCACAAGTGGGACATTCTTCCCATGACCTCAACTGAGAGGTCACAGTAAAAACTTAGGCTCCCAAGACGCTGTTTATTTAGCATCCCCAAAGGAAAAAAGGCCCCTCCAGCACCCTCAGCTGTGATATATCTTTTCTGAACACACCCAGATTCCCTCACATAAGCATGATCACAAAAAGCAATAAAATGGCATGTGTGAAGGCTGGACACACCAAGGGCAGGTTCTCCATCATGCCCCACCAAAGGTCAAGACCTATATGAATTATTATTATTATTTTTTTTTACTTACTCTCTGCTCTGTGGTGTAAAGATATTGTTACAAATGTCAAAAGGCCTGCAGATAACCCTGTGGGTAACAGTGATAAGAATAGAAAGCATTTATGTTTATATATAACAAGAAAATCAAGCTGTTGGTAAAACTGGACAATGGTATAAATGTGAAGCAGCTCAAAGAAGAGTATGGTGTCAGAACAACCACCATATATGACCTGAAGAAACAGAAAGATAAACTGTTGAAGTTCTATGCTGAAAGTGATGAACAGATGTTTATTTTAAAAAATAGCAAAACCCTACATACGGCTAAAAACGAAGATCTCAATTGTGTATTGAAAGAGTGGATCCATCAGCATCACAGTGAACACATGCCATTTAATGGAATGTTGATTATGAAACAAGCAAAGATCTATCATGATAAACTGAAAATTGAAGGGGACTGTGAATATTCAACAGGTTGGCTGCAGAAATTTAAGAAAAAAATACACCATTAAATTTTTAAAGACTTTTGGTGACAAAGAATTTGTTGATCATGATGCAGCAAAGAAATTCATTGACAAGTTTGCCAAAGTCATCCTGGATGAAAATCTGATGTCACAACAAGTCTATAATGCTGATGAACCATCACTTTTCACATAATTGCTGAAGAAAATCACTGACTACAGCTGGTGAGATAGTCCCAACAGGAATCGAGAATGCCAAGGATAGAATAACTATACTGGGCTGTGCTAATGCCACAGACACATGTAAGTGTAAACTTGCTATGACTGGTGAAAGCTTGTATCCTTGCTGTTTTCAGAGTTCATTTCTGACCAACCCATTATTACACTTACAAAAATGTATGGATCGCCAGGGACATCTTTTTTGATTTGTTTCACATTTTGTACCAGTGTCTCATGTTCACTGCAGGGAAACTGGATTAGATGAAGACTGCATGTTTTGTTATTCGTTGACAACTGTTGTACTCATTCTTCAGCTGAAATTATCATCAAAAATATTTATGCCATGTACTTTTCCTCAAGTATGACTTCATTAATACAGTCATATAACTAGGGTAGTTTTAGATCTATGAATAACTATAAAAGCACTTTCTTGAACCGTATACTAGCAGCACTGAACAGAGGCATGGGGTGTGGATGGTTATCAAAAGGACTTTAGCCTGAAGGATGCCATATGTGCTGTTGCCAGTACTTGGAACACAGTGACTGGCACAACCACTGGCACAACCCATGGCCTGTGACTATGTTCCATGAGGAAGATGAGCAAGGCAGCGACTTTGAAGGATTCCACATGTCAAGTGAGAGAAAGATGAAGTCTGAACTCCTTACACATGCAAGAAATATGCCTAAAGAGTTTTTAACATCAATAATGAAGCTTCAGTTGTTCATTCCTTGATTGATGGTAAAATAGTTGAAAAGCTTTTGAATCAAGGTTTTTCTGATCATAGTGATCATGATGATGATGCAGTTAACACTGCAGAAAAAGTGCCTATAGACAACATGGTAAAAATGTGTGATGGGCTAATTGAAGGACTACAGCAGCATGCATTCGTAACAGAACAGGAAATCATGTCAGTTTACAAAATCAAAGACAGATTTCTGAGACAAAAACTTGTTGTTAATGAGGCAGGTGACTCTGGAGGAAACATTTTAAAAAGCCATCCAGCAGAATGCCTCCTCATCCCTAAAGGACTCACTCCATGGTGTCTCAACTGCTTCTGATGTTTCTTCTCACCTAAAAAAAAAATATATGGTACACAGTAATATTTTAATCAAATCAAAGCATTGTAGGTAGATACTGAAAGCTGGCTGTTGTTCGTTGTTGCTGTTAACAGCTAGTATAGGTATTCTGGAGATGCCACTGGGATGCTCAGTTACCCTGAACACATTATTTTTTCACCGTATCAACAGCACGTCATATTTTTTACTGTTCAGTCGTTATGTGTGAGTAAGTGTAAGAAAATCATTGCTTATTGGTAGCATATAAATTCAAAGTTAGGAATGACAATTATGCCAAACAACCACAGATTTTCCCAATGGGTGGCCGAGATAGTGACCCCTTTGCTTTCTGACAGTTCAATGTACACAAACTTTGTTTCATGCACAAAATTATTTAAAGTATTCTAGAAAATTACCTTGTATATTAAATATGAAAGAATTTTATGTTTAGCTTAGGGACCATCCCTAAATGATATCTTTATGTATATGCAAATATTCCAAAATTTAAAATAATGCTTGTCTCAAGCATTTAGATTAAGGGATACCGAATATTTGATAACAGTATCTACCTTTTAGAATTTGGGTAGAATTAAATGAAGTAAGAGAAATAAAGTATGAGAGTGGTCTCTGGCACACCATAAGGACACAGTAAGTAAATGTCAGTTATTACTTATTATTCCAACTTATAGAAAGAATGTCCCAAGCTTTGTGTGACTTGCCTGCCACTTCCCAACTAGGAAGTAAGCAAGAATGAATGTGTCACTGACTAGAATTCTGTCCATAACACTAACATCATAAAGTAGCCCACTTCTAAAATTTTTTTAAAGGATACCTACTAGAAGAAGGGAGACCTCAGTAGAACTCTAGAATGTAAACTAAAACTTAGAGGTATAAAATTTAACTTTTTTTTCTTCACTCAGTCAGCAGGTGTTTATGAGTATCTGCTTTGAGCAAGATTCTGTGATAAGCTTTCTTTAAAACTAAAAGATAGAAAGCTTTTTGTGCAATCAGTATATAATTTAGTAGGTACAATTCAGTTACCTGTAATACAAGGCTATGTGAGCCATCGTATGAGGGGTCTACAGAGTTCAAGCTTAGGAGAGAGGAAAAGAGTCTGCCTGAACTGATCAGGAAACTAATAATGTAGGAAATAATATATGGACTGGACCTCCATGAAGGGATGAATAGAATTTCATTGGCAAACATCAGGATGGGAGAATACTCCAGAAGGGACAGCATGAACAAAAATAGAGTGCTGGGAAACATAGTATTTCAAAATGCAGCTATTTTTACTTTCTCACTCTATCCATTCTAGACAAGACTTAAAGTATCTCCAAGGATACATACATTATAACAAAGTAATACGATTAACAATTACATTAAAGAACACTTAGTTGAGTACAGGCTGCTATTAAGCTACTAGCGAGAACCAAAGTTGGAAAAGTGAATTGAGATCAGAGTTTGGTGGGTGTGAAATGCCGAACTAAGAATTTTGTTTTATTCACAGGGAATCAAAAGGCATAGAAATTGGGTGAGCAAGAGTTGAGGGGATATTGACAGGCACTTGAAAGAGCACACAGGCAGCAGGCTTGAAGATGGGTTGAATGGTGTATGTGGGGAAGTGGAGGGAGCAGGTAAAAATCGAGAGATGGACTAATTGGAGGAAGGAGATCTACACAGTGAAAACATTTTGTTGTAAGATTATGACAGCAGGAATGGAAAAGGAGAGAAAGATGTGAGAGATAAGAATAGAATAATTCAGGGGAAAAAATGTTCTTTCATTAAAGTAGTAACAAAAAGGAAATATCTAGCAAGAGTAAGTAGGGTTGACTTTGTTTTTTGTTAGCTTGCTTTCATCTAAGGGAGATGCAAATTCTCAGGGTTGTTGCTTCTAGTTGTAACCTCATCCTCACCAGCACAATCGCCTCTGGCCATGGGTGTAAAGGATAAGAGGGAGGTAGACAGGCAGTCAGACTCTCTCTCTTCATTTAGGCAGCAGTGAAAGACTTTTAGGGGAATACAGATGTGTACATGTAATAAATCTCAGCAGAGCTGTCCCAGAGAGATTCACAGCCCAGGATTTGGACTAGAGAGATGAAAATAATTCAATTTGGCACTCTGTGGCTATAAAGAACCTTGCAACTGAGAATGCCTGAATATATTCAGCTTCCAGTTAGCTATGCTAATCAACCATCCACATTGTACAAAGAGCAAATAACATCAAATAGGAGTTACTTTCATATGTGATTTTGAAATGTGTATGATTACTATCACATACATTTAAAGATAAGGCAAACCTGAAGACAAGGCAACGCCTCATTTTCCCAGTTGAAAGAGTTTGAGGAATGAGAGGGACAGTTTGAACATATAAACTTTGAGGCAAGTAAAGAGTCAAATGACTGTTTATAATATTTAATTTAATGATATACATTTATATTCAATAATTTACAAAATAATGTGAATTTTTAAGATTTTCCCACACATGACTTTTATGAAATACTTTTATCACTCTTCACATGATCTCCAACACTGGTGACATCCCCATCACCAGAGTCCCCTTTAGAGCCATCTTCCTCAATCTTCTATAGCACACCTTCTGTCACAGTTGTTTGAATACATTTTGAACTCATATATGACACCGTCACTACAAATTTTATCTCCAGTTGCAAGTACCTGTTCACGTATCATTCTAGAATTTTTAAAATTATTCTGAAGGTATATTTTTATTGTCTTCGCAAGGTAAAATTCTACCATTTTTCATTGAAAAATAATCTTTAGAAGGATTTTCTACAGTAAGATCCAACATTTAAAATTGTGAGATCATTTGTCCCAGAATAACCAAATGTTTTTGCCTCCATTTTTTAAAATAAATTTCTGTCATATGATATCTATAAATATCTCCAACTAGAATTGATTGAGGTTATCCCAGGCTCATGTTTAAAATCAAATAATTGAGGCCACTCTATATAATGACAGACTCTGTAAGAACTCAAATATATGACAATTCTTTTTTAGGATATGAATTTTTCAGTGAGAAAAAAATGGCTTATATTTGGAGACAGATAATAAGCAAGTATGAACATATCTAATGTTTTGTGAATTTATATTTTTAGCAAAAGAATGAAACCAAAACATAGCAACTGCTTAACTTTTCTAACTTTCCTTTACTTGTTTTTTTTTTGCTAGTTATCCCTCTGATGTGGAACAAAGAAAGAAAGCTTCTTATCTGTAGATGGTTCCTGGCTTATGAAGGTTTGATTTACAATTTTTCAACTTTAAAATGGTAGGAAAGTGACAAGTATCCAGCACTCTCCTTGACCTACAATGAGTCCATGTCCAGATAAACTCATGATAAGCTGAGGAGCATTTATATTATATGGGGATAATTAATAGGACCAATGACATAATTTGTGGGTCTAGTGCAAAGTGAAAATCTGGGAGCTATTGTATAAATGTTATTAAGTATGGAAAGATAATGACAGCAGGGCGTTAGTGTGCAGGTCCTTCCAAACATGGGGCCCTGTTCAACTGCACAAATTGCAGGCCCGTGAAGCCAATCCTGATAACTAATATTGCTTATTCTGGCTGTGTTTTGAGGCAAGTGAGAGTATTAGTGAAGCAAGGGAAGTTCAAATGCTTTGACAACATTCAAGGATTGCATACACGTAAAGGAGTTTTACATCCCTAAAGGATTGAAAAGAAATCACTGGAAATATCCAGAATAAATTTGCTGTGTTTCTAGAATATTTCTTCTTTCATTAAGGTTTATAAATGCCATCTGGCTAAACGGAGAGTGAGAGAGAGAAGGAGACAGAGAAACAAAAAAAGAGAGTAAAATTAGAAAAAATTCCAGACTTTCAAAGCCCCTAGAAAACTAGAAGTTGCTATTGAGACTTTTCTGATAAGAAAGTAAACAACTTTTAATCTTTATTTGTACAACGTAGAAGTCAATGATGCATTTTTCCTCTGGATGCTAAACAAATCATATCTCCTAGAAAAAGGGCCAGTTATTCATCAGGAGTTTATTTCCACAAAATCATGTCTCTTCACAAGAAACTTGAAATCTGATGAAAAAAAACTCCCATTCGAAAATCTAGTCATTTAAATTATAGAGGATTTTCACAAATAGAACAGAAGTCATTGCCATGATTTCAGAAAAAAATCCCACCCACATGAGGAAGAACCAGACAAACATTTCCTGTTACACGTAAAAATAATGATACTTGAATGCAGAGATGAGATATCAAAATGCGAATTGTAACTGGGTGTGGCAGACTTAATTCCTCTGATGGATTATCTTTAGGGAAATATAAATTTGTGGTGATTTAAAATAAAAAAAATTATAAAAGGCATTAGAACATGTGAACCTGTTCATTTTATACAATTGTTTAACTAAATGTCTTTACTAAAATGCTAACAACACTTTACTGTGCAAATAAAATAGACTGAAGGGAACAGGTTGTCAAAATACAATACTTCTCTTATTGTCATAATGGGTTAGCAGTTAGTTCATGAAAGACAGGGTGATCTTCTGGAAAAAAGCTGGATTTAACCATTTGTAAAGAAAGGGCTTGTCTGAGTCAACCTCAAAAGTAGAAAAGGTGAGATCTTATGAACTATAAAGTGAGATATTGTGCAACTATAAACAAATTAATTGTAGGTTATGTGTATAATAGTAATTTTAAAACTAGCTTAAAAGTTCAGTAGTTCAAACCGACAATAATTTGGATTTGCAACGTTGTGACTGTCCCTTAGAGTGAATTCTCTCGAAAAAGCTTCTTTTTGCAGGAGCAGCTCCCGAACAGGCAAAAGAATCAGTGCAGAAAACAGTGACAGATGATGTAAGTCACATGAAGGGGCAGACTCCAGAACCACCCAAATCTAGGTTCCGGGTCCATGAATGTGTCACTTTTTTTTTACTTTGAGCCTTGTTTTTCTCCCTTGAAAAGCAGAAATAATGATCAGGTAGGGTCATTATATTATAGGATAACATATTATATCTCTTTGATTCCAAGTAGTTGATTGCTTTCTCATTTTAACAAATCAGGATATGTCTTACAATTGATGTTGGCTCTGATTCAATAAAATGCAGTATATAAAATTCCTGGCACACTGAAGTACTCGGGAGCTATAACTTACTTTGATTAGCTTTATGTTGTCCGTTTTCATCATCTATTTTACTGATCTCATACATTTTCAACGTGTCACCTACACAGTGAGGAATTTCAAATTTATCAACATCAGACTCAACTCCTAATGAGGTAGGAGACCAGCGGGACTTAACTTCCTAATCCCAATAGGATGAAGTAAGACACTGGCAGGAACCAGCAGGTGGCGCCAAAGGCAACCTCTGGTTTCCCTCGCTGCTCATTAGCATAAGACACTCCCACCAGTGCCATGACAGTTTACAAATACCTTGGCAACAACCCCTAAGTTCCTGCCCCTTTCCGTGACAATGACCTAAAGTTACTGCCCCTGTTTTCCAGAAATTTCTGAATAACCCACCGCTAATTTGCATGTAATTAATTTGGCCTAAAATGGCTGCTTACGTCGTAATACTGTTTTACAATCAGATTTATTCTGTAAAAAAGAAGGAAAATGGGGAGAGGTCCCTTATGTAAAGGCTTATGGCTGTTTAATGGCTCATGAAATAAAGGGCACCAAGAAGCCGTGTTTAAGGCATCCCACCCTAGCTGTTCCCACTAGAAGGCATAGACCCTCCCCACTCTCTCCTTAGTTCCTCCAATTCTGAGGGGGTCCTGCCAGTTCTCTAATGCAGGATTCTACCCCAAGGTCATCAGGCATGACACCCCTTCCCCTTATCCAACTAGCCCCAGCCTATAACCCCTACTGCCCATTGAAGTAAGCGCAACCAGTACTACTAGGAGTGGAGCCCCTTATCAGCCCCTAAAATGAAACCTGTGTCCTTTGCAGGAAGTAGCTGGCAGAGAGGAAGGAACACTTAGAGTACATTATGCCATTCTGTGTGTCTGATTTGGCTTTATGCAGGGAGAAATTTGGCCTGTTTTCAGGTAAGCCAGGGAAGTTAATAGAAGAGTTTGTTAAGTTGACCATATTCTTCAATTTAACTTGGCATGACTAGCATGTATGGTCATCCACTTGCTGAGAGTGAAGGAGAAGCAGAAGATGCTGGGCGCTGACTGTGAGTGTGCAGACGGAGCAGCCACATGTAATGAAGGCCATGCCAGTTATTGTATCAGAAGAGATGAAGTTCCAGATCTAGACCCTTAGTGAGATGACCAGGATGATTCTCAAGATATTGAATGCAGAAATCACATGGTAACGTGTTTAATATATTTAAAAACATGCTTCGTTAAGCCAGTTAAACATGACAAAATTAAAGAAGGAACTTGGAGAAAGACAAAAGTCCTGCTCTGTTTCAGAGCCGTTTGGTTGAGGTACTCAAGAAATACGCTAATGCAGACCCAGACTTCCTGGAAGGGCAAACTCTCCTGGTTGTGCATTTTATTACTCAATCTACCCCTGACATTGGGAGGAACCTGAAAAGAGCATCAGTGGGACTCTAAACCTCTATAAGCAAACTCTGAAACATGGCCTTTGGACTTAAAACAATAGAGATGAAAAAAAAAAAAAAAGAGAAAACAAAATCCCAAAAGTACAACTATTAACATCTGCTTTAAGCCCCTTGCCACCTCGGGATTATCTATCCTGAGGAAGTGTCATGAGATCAACGTCTGGGATGCCCAGACAATAGTCTCCAGCTTGCTGGTCCCTGGGCCAGAATCAGTGTGCCTACTATAATCAAGAGGGCCATTGGCAATGAGGCTATCCTAACAATCCCTGGTGAGAGAAGAAAAAAGCTCCCTGTCAATACTAGAGCTAACCATCTTCCATTCACCCCAATGAACTGCCTTGGTTGAGTAAAATTACTGGGATTCCTCGACCCTTGACCTGACAGACAGTCTGCAGTATCAACTAGCGGCTACCGAAACACTTTTCATCTGTGTCTCCACTGCTGGGTGAGTTCTCTGGTGGCTCAGGAATTTCAGAATCTCACCTTGAGCAACATGGTTCACCTCCTCCCTTAGATGGCATCCCTTTCCCTGCCTCTCCCTGTATTACATACCTATTGAAGCAAACAAAACTTTGTAAATAACTTGGATCCAGGTTGTTTTGCTTAATATATTTCTGCTTATGTGTATATACAGGTGTTGTGATGTGTGTTGTGACTAACATGCTGTCAAGTTGAATGATTAAAAAAATGGCTCCTATAAACTAAACAGATAAGACCAAATACTTCTCAAGTTCACATAACTTGGTAATCTTTGGGTAAATGGAACTAGTCTAAACTTATTAGTTTGTTGGTAACATTGTATCTTTTAAAATTTAACTTTAACATTCTTACCTAGGTGAGCTGCTAAAGTCTGCAGGCGTTAGAATTGCTAACAGAAAAGTGGCTTTACATAGTGATTGGCTTTACATGGCATTTTACTTATAAAAAAATAAAGGAACCAGACAGTAGAAAAGACAGATGTGGAAAAGGTTATAGATACAAAAATGTATTTTTGGTAACAGAGGATATAGAAAGTAATTCTTAAATGAGGGAAAATCTTGTATGGTGAATCTTATCCTAAAATAAAATGACTGGTATTTAAGGGAAAGGTAGTATAAGACAAGTCAGAAAGGCCAAACATGTCATAAAGGGTCTATGTCATGATAAGGTTCATGAAGAGGAATTTATGAAAAAAAAATTGTGTGTGATTAAACTAGCTATAATTAACATGGAATTGCTTATAATAGTCTTTCTAAAGAATGGTCTTTATATTAAAACAAGGTTTTCTTAAGATATTGATTTGCTTCTGAATTTTATAACATGTACTGTTTAAAACTTTTTTCATTCATATCTCAGAGGTTCAACCATTGTTATGTCTCACTGCTTGCAACTTGTTCTCCCTTTGAGAAAGCCCGAGGTAACTTTCTTCAGCTTTTGTCAGTTCCTGTAATTTTTCCTTCTCTGTTTCTAATTGTTGTTATAGCCTAATGCTGAAATATTTTATCTTAGAGGTCTATAAAAGCACTAATTTCCTCCATTATAATTTGGATTTATTTATTTATTTATTTATTTATTTATTTATTTATTTATTTATTTTGAGATGGAGTCTTGCTCTGTCACTCAAGCTGGAGTGCAGTGGCTCGATCTCAGCTCACTGCAACCCTCGCCTCCCAGGTTCAAGCAATTCTCCTGCCTCAGCCTCCTGAGTAGCTGGGATAACATACGCCAGCCACCACACCCACTACTTTTTGTATTTTTTTAGTAGAGATAGAGCTTCACCATCTTTACCAGGCTGGTCTTGAACTTCTGACCTCGTGATTAACCTGCGTTGGCCTCCCAAAGTGCTGGGATTATAGGCGTGAGCCACCATGCCTGGCTTAACTTAATTTTGTCAATATGTAACCTTAGTTTTGTATTTTGGTTTTTGGCTTCTATGTTGCTTAAAAAGTGTTTCAGGGACTGATGAATGCCTGCCCACCTCTATTTGCATCTGGCTTAAATTGACTATAAGATGCCCCAAAACCTAATTTGAGCCATGATGAGAAACAGGAGGACAGACATATCTTACTATACTTCCTTTGGAACTTAGGCCAGGTTCAAAAGACCCTTGAAAAATATGAAAATAAAGCATTCTCCTCAAAGGAAAATAACAGCTCCCTGGTTCCACCAGGAGACTTAGTCCTATTAAAAACTAGGAAATGAGGACCCCATGCCAAGGATCAATTCCATTTAGTTACATAGCTATAACCAGGACGCTGACCCCAACTATATCTGGTTCACTGTCAAAAGTACCCTCTCTAGTCTCAGCTGGTTTTTACCCTTCCTAGGATCTTTGACAGCTATCTTGTTACTAATAATTTTGTCCCTTGCTTGTTTAACCTCCTTGTAAAGCTTGCGTCTTCTAGACTACAACAATTCCATGCAAAAGAATGGTGGTAGAAGGCTTCCGATCCATCCCATCTTCTGACATTGAAAATGAAAACATGCTCTCGTTTGACCAATGAGCCTCTTAGATGCAGTATCCAGGGATTTTTTTACAGCTCCAATGCTAGGCAGGGCCTATCCCCACAAAATTAGCAGAAAGACCTCCTCCCTTCTGCAGTCCCCTTAAGATTAAGGAGGAGTGTCGAATCTTTGAGTGGGAATGAGATAGTGGACCAGCAGGACGTATTTCCTGGTTGACAGGATGAAGTGAAGAAACTGGCAGGAACTAGTAGGTGGCACCTAAGGCAACCTCTAGTTACTCTCACTGCTAGAAATTTCTGAATAACCCACCCCCTAATTTGCATGTAATTAAAAGTAGGTATAAGTGGGTATAAATACAGCTGCCAACAGTCCGTACCCTGCTGACTCTGGGTGCATTGCCAAGGAGTCTGCCCTGCTCTGCAAGGAGCAGCTCCAGTTCAGTACAATATTGCTGTTTAATACTGTTGGCTCACCCTTGAATGCTTTCCTGGGAAAAACCAAGAACCCTCCTGAGCTAAGCCCCAATTTCAAGGCTAGCCTGCCCACCTGCATCATCAGCCTGAATATGAACATAGATTTTAATGTTTCCCAGCTAGTTGTCCATGGGAAATTGTTTAATCCCCCTTCATATTGGTTATCTAACAGGTAAAGTGGTGAGAAGCCATTCTCCATAGGGTCGGCATGATGGTTACATGAGAAAAGTTATGTTGCAAATGCTGAAAAATGCATAAAAATATACAGTGAAAATGTGTGTTCTTTAGAAACCTATGTACTTGGTGTTAAAAACCATGCAATCTATTTGTAAGTTGGGATGTTATTTACTTTAACTTTCTGAACCTCTCCATTTTCTCTTCTCATTTGTAGAATGGGAATGTGTGATATTGTGAAATATATACGTTTGGTCTTTGGCTCAGTTTCCTGGTATACAACTCCTACAGTCTTCAGACTATCCAAAGTGAAGTATTTTTGTATGCTAATAATTGACTGAATACTAGAATTCCCTGGGTAACTTCAGGATGGAGGTTGGTCATCAGAAAGACCAAGGCATAATTTTAGAGGGTTTGGTCTTTTAGCCCCACCCCCTGACTTCTAAGGAGGGGAGAGGGGCTAAAGGTTAAGTCAATTATGAATGGATAATGATGTAATCAATCATGCATATGTAATGAAGCCTCTATAAAAAAACCAAAAGGACAGGGTTTTGAGAGCTACCAGATTGCTGAATACATAGAGGTTGTCGTGACTAGGGAAGGCATGGAAACTTTGCACCCCTTCCCCCGTACTGCGTT